GGGGCAAGTGTGAACCTGTTATACAGTGTGTCTACTTAAGTTGGAACCATATGGAAAACTTTTTTATTATTGGTTTTGTGAAAAAATGTATTTCTGATAAAAAGTTCTGCATGGTCCAAAACTTAAAATGCAACCATCAGATATCAATTTTTTTAAGCTGTATACAAGGTTTGCCAAAATATATGAATTTTACTCAAGAGTAAAGTACCTTTGTTTTACAATATAGAAGAATGTTATGAAGTAAAGTTATTTTTAAATTAAAAGTTATATTCAAATTTGCAATAACAGCTATTTAGCATTAAAATTCAGGTTTGGCGATTAATTAATTTATAACTACAAATAATTTATAATGTAAAATGTAAATAATCACCTAACCTGAATTTTCCTTAGTCTAATGCCATTCTCTCTCTCACACTCACTCTCTCACACAACCTGAATTTTCATGCTAAATGACTGTAATTGCATATTTGAATATAACTTTTAATTCAAAATAACTTTATAATGTTCTTCTATATTGTAAAAAATAAAGGTACTTTACTCTTGAGTAAAATTCATATTTTTAGACAAACCTCGTATACAGCTTAAATTGATATCCGATGGTTGTAGACCATGCAGAACTTTTTATCAAGAATACATTTTTTCACAAAACCAATAATAAAAAAGTTTTCCATATGGTTCCAACTTAAGTAGACACACTGTATATTAGGCTAGCTATTTTTTTTTTAATTTTAACTTACCTTACATCACTTGCGCAAAAGTGAATTATTTCCACGAATAGGTTTAATAATGGTAATTGTACTTGATCATTAAAATATACAGAATATGGAGTACTATATGGTCCATGATAGGTTCAAATTTATTTGCTTTATGTAGAAAAAATATAGGTAATTTCATTATAAAAAATTTGTTTAGTTGTGGATGATACAAAAGTTCTTAAAATAGCAATCTGATATATTCTTATTCTAAATGTAAATTAACGAAATGAATAATAATGCACTACATCATGAGTGAACTCCTAAAATCAGAGCAGAGAAATTAGCTCAGGGAGTTCATTTATATAGATAGTAGACAATATGAGGCTAGTATTGACCCCTGACGTACCCCCACATTGTTAATCAGTTTCTGCAAGAAAAAGTGATTGCCTGAGTAATTAATTTAAACTGATTGGAACCGATCTTCAATATAGGATTGAAACCATTTATTTTGAATGCCTCTTAGTCCATAGGAGTAGAGTTTATGCAGATCATGTTGAACACAGTCGAAAGCCCTGTTGGGATCACAGAATATTCCTGCAGAGCTGTTGCCATGTTCAAGTACCTTCTCATAAAAGGATTCCATTATAATTTTATTTAAACTGAGATAATGCATCAGTTGAATTAATATAATGTATTCAAATTTTTAGAGAATGTTGAAATTACCGAAATTGGTCAATAATTGGACACTCATGTGGAGTCCCTTTTTTAAGATAGGCAAAACTACTGAAATTTTAAGCCTTTCGGGAAATAAGCCTTCTTCTAACGATTTATTAATTATATGTGTTACGGGCGATAATATGTTTGGTGCAATTTCTTTTATAAGTTTTCCAGAAAACTCATCAGAGCCGCTAGATGGTTTATTTTTAATTTTGTTTTATCAGACACCTGATTCAGATACATGTCTAACAAAGAAACTTTTTAAAGGTGACCTGTCATAGGAATATTTAACATTTGTTTTTGGTGTGTGATAAAAAAACTGGAAACTCCAATCCACATTCATCGACACAATAGCCCACTGGGATTGAAATAAAACTGAAAGCAGAATAAATAAAATACACAGCGTTCTTTCTCTATTTAATTCCAGTAACTGAATACTTTTGAATGTTCATTAGGAAAGATAAAATATACCTAAATGATCCATCTCTAGCTATATTTGTTTAACCACATACGATTCATATTAACCTCTCTTTATTAATATTTGAAAAAAAAAAAAAAAAATTTATTTTATCAACATTTGTCCATCTTTTTTAAAATAATTTAGCCATGATGTCTTCAGATAAACTTGCAGTCAGTTGTAAGAACATTAATTATAATTTGTAAACCTAATAAACTTTGATAATGACTATGAATAATTTAAAGCTCATGTCTTTGAGACAAATCAAATTCTCAAGCTATGTTAACATGTATCTTGCAACTGGCTCTTGGTCTATTAGTGTTATTAAGTATGTACCTGTTCCTTGACACATGTAATTTTCATATTAAGTACCATATACCTATGTTTCCTATGTGTCATATTTTGGTTATTTTTCGTTAAGATTCGACATCTTAGAAACCTACATCAATATTAGTTTAATAACAGTAAGGTGTATTTTTACTTTGGTCGAATGCTATTCACCTCCCTTTATTTTTCCAAATGCGTTTTTTGTCATTGTACCTATCATGATATACAGAAATTTATTTTCAAAACTGTTATAAGGCATGCACAGCATAAAAAGGCAATAAATAATATGCACAAAAGACAATGAAAGGTTTTTTCTTTGCAAAGGGCAACATTTTTTAAAATTTGTATTAACAATGGTATACAATAGTAAACAATTCCAAGCTATACTATATTACTGTTTACTGTATTGACAATGTATAGTGGTGCCAAATTATTATTAAAATCTGTTCAAAAAGCATTAAACAATTCGTTTCCATAACAAACATAATTTCAGAGTCATAAATTATGTGAACAGACACTTTTAAATTACTGGAGCTTGTATGTATTGTAAAAGAAAACTTAAAAGCAATTATACGAGATTTCTACAAAAAAAAGTATATATATGTATAATTCAATAGCATAGATTCCCAAAAAAATACAAATATAAAAAATGGAAAAAAGGAAATAAACAACAAGTACCTAGGTTTTAAGTTTTCAAAATAAATCAAAAATGTTTAGGATCAAACAAGATGCTATGCTTTAAAATAAACTAAATCTCTAGACCTGGCTACCATGTTAGGTCATAATTTTTTGTTTTAGGCAGAAGGGTTGTAGTTAATTTAATTTTTAAATGCGTTGCAGCCAACACATTCCTATGTAAGTTCATCAAGAGCAAACTGAACCTCTGGCGACAGCAAAAATGTTTTAAAAATTTTCCAATATAAAAATGTATTTATATGCACGCCACTGGGAATACTTATATTATGTGCCATGAGAATATTGATAGCATTAAATTTGTGCAATGATAAGGCAGAGAAGAAAAAAAAGATGGGAACTCCTCCCATTTAAAAACTACTAGATATTTATTAAAACAAAAGGTAGCAAATTTTAATAGATTTAATACAGAATGGTGAGTGACGTTTTTTTAACTTCTTTTAAACATTTTCAAAATAAATACTTTTCGAAGGTTTACAAAAAACCTAAAATTAAAAATTCTGCAATTTTAGATTTTTTTAAGATAAATATTAAGAATTCACAATTCTACTCTGTAATTAACTCTCGGGTGAAAGTGTTCAAAATGGGTGTTTGTAAAAACAAATGCAAAAAGTTCATCAAAGATTATACCACTTCTTGATATATATATTAATAATAGTGACAAAAAAATGCCATTTATGTATTTATCAGTTCTTAGTTTTTTCTATTTTGCTTGTATTTTTTGTATAACTTTATTAATAACTTTTGACATGAACTAAAAACCTTAAAAAATCCAAATAACCTAAAAACCTACTTATTTTTTTTTTTTTATTTTTAACCAACCCTGATTACTATCATCTGTAACAAAAATAATATGGCCTTACAATATTATTGATAGCCTACAATGATAACATTCAAGCACAGACTGTTAATAATTAGTAAAATAAGTTGATGCATTTTAGATAATATTCAATTGGAGAATATGTGGGACATGTTTCACCTAGAAGTTTTGATAGGTAAAGATGTGATTTTAATAATGTTGACATTATCTCAGTTATATTCAGGTAAAATATGACTTACAGATAGTATTGCATTCATCACTATTAGCAAGGTATTAAAAGGATAAGGATGAGTAGGGCCCTATTACAATAAGGACACAGCTCCATCATCAATTAGCAAAGTAATTATTTAAATAATTCCACCTACTGAAGGTTTAGTGGAGCGTTAATATTATAAAAATATTGGAACTAATTTTTTTATACTCAACAACTTACCTAATCTATATTTATTGATAGTTATAGATAATATAAGGTTTGTTCCAACATAAACCAAATCAGTTTGTGTACTGTCGGGATTCTGCGCAGTCTAGAATTTGTGTTCCAACAAACCCTAGACTCGAAACTGTACAAAAACATAGTGTTCCAACACAACCAAAATTAATCACAAACCGATTTGTGTACTGTCAAATCAGTTCCTGGGTCTGAATAGGAACGAATTGTCAAGACATGCGCTAAGCCGCAATAAACTGAACATTTCGTGATTGTAATAATATTATTTGTATCTATTGTCTCTGACAGTTCTGATTTGTATTTGTTAATCGAGATTGGTCTTCATAGTTTTTGTTCATGATCATTATTGTAACAATGCGTCTGTTGAATTTAAAAAATGTGTTCCAACATAATTGAGTTCTGAGTTGAGTCCCAATCCCCGACCAGTACCTGACAAGTTGTCACTTACTAGTCATCGACAGATTGTCAACAATAAGTTTTGGACTGGTTTATGTATTGTTCCAAGATCGTTGTTGGAACAAACCTATATATTTGAAATTCGAAATAATGGTTATGACGTAGCAATGTTCTTCTTATTGTAATCATATTCTATACAGTAAAACAGCTATGTAATTTGCAGCTAGTGTAATGTGCTCTGCTGCTGCAATTATGATAAATATTATTACTCAGTATTTCCTATTTCTAAGTTAATATATAAGTAAACAATAATTTTTAGGTGGATATTTGATATATTAATTTTAATAACTGATAGCCAAAAACGATACCTATGTATTACCTACTTAAATATTGAAGGGTTTAAAAATAAAAATATGTAAACACTTAATAACAAAATATGTCACTTACCTTTGTTGATTAGCAGTATTAGGAGAGTTATTCTCTTCATTCATAAATGCTTCAAGACATTCTTCCATTAATGCTTCTTCTTCCAATCTTTGCATGACCTATAAAAATTATTTTCCAAAAAAAAATACTTTCAAAAATGTGCCTATTTTTACCTCTTTATCAAACTCTTCCTCGTGTTCCATCCACAGGTATTCGGAAAAATCAGTTTCAGGGGCCGTATTGAAGTCTTCCACCACATTGTTCTCGATTCCTTCTGAAAAGTAGGAATTATCCTCATAATCATATAAACCGTTGTCAGCAGTTTGATTACCAGGCATTTTCATAGTCTAAAATAAAAAAATATTGGTTTTTGTTTTATTCAGGACAATCTCCTCCATTTTATAGAAGTTGAACTAAAAATAAAAAACACTTACCAAGGATTGAAATGCCTTAGCAGTAGACTTTTAGAAAGGGTTTTTTATTATTCTATATAGTTCGACTAAAAATTCGATATATATTCTAAAGTAAATTTGGTGATACTTTATTTATAATTTTTCGAGACTCACTCGCTTCTCCTATATTGTGTTGTCAAACAAGAAACAAGATGAAGAAAGTAAAATACGAACAAAATACGAATACGCACAGCGCACACAGCAGCGTTGCCGTTGTACTAGAGAAGGCAGAAAATGTACTGACCATGACACGTGAAAAGTTAGAAAAAATCATAGAATTATATTGCAATTGGAAATATAAAATTTAATGATCCCAGGAGATAATTTTACATAATTGCATTTATCGGCATTATTAGGTATTCCAAACAAAATGGTTGCTGTGTGCATTAATATGGCAACCCTGTGGGTCTGGCAAAATTTGACACTTTGACAGAGCCAATGCTATAGATAGTTATATAGATTGATCAGCTGTTTTTTAAAATAAACATAAAATAAAGGTATTTTTCGCGGCATAAACCAACATAAACTTTTATGATAGATTATGTTATTAAGGGCCGATTCCACCGTTGTGTTAAACTGAGATTAAAATGGCATTGTTAATGTAAAAATGTCATTTTAAACTTCGTTTAACACAACGGTGGAATCCACAAAGCATGTATCTTCTAGAGACCCCACGCCAATGTTAAACTTTTAAACCAAATTAGCGCCACCTTGTGTTTGGAGCTGGAACTAAAATGACAATTGACAGATGGCGGTAAATTCAAATTTTAATTTTTAGGAGTAGGTAGTAGTTTTAAATTAAATTTTAAATGATTTCCACATAAATTATTTTATAAAATAAAGTATGGAACTAGTAAGTTCGAAACTTTTATTTTACAAAATAATTTAGGTCAATTATACCAAATTTGAAGAATTAATTTGTTATAAGGGGTCTAATGTGGAGAGTTGGTTCTGCATATTTTTATTAAATAAATATAAGATATATCAATAAATAATAAAATAGAACATTCTTAAAATATGTTTATTAATAACTTAAATAAATATTATTAGATGAAAATAAATACAAATAATAATACATATTTAACAAATACTTACTTGGAGCAAATAGATATATAATCTCAAATCTTTAAAATACCTATCAATAATTTAAATGTGAAGTAGAGACTAGGATATTACATTTTATTAACACTAAAGTTATATATTTTATAAATGTCTTTTTAACTGAGGACAAATGTAATATAGGTATTGTATTAAAAGGTGAATCCTTTTAACTATTCATTCAATGATAAATAGGTATTTTCCTTCCAAATACAGATGGTGGTATTACTCTCTTATGTGAAAAATGATTTCGGAATCCAGTCCAGTGATAAATTGATTATCAATTAGTTGTTGTCCCCGTTTGTCTTTTTATGATGCAGATGCATGGTGAATATATGGTGAATCAATGAAGTTTTTCTCGAAGTTTTCAACGTAGCACCAAAATTATTGCAAAACACAGTAGGAAATAAAAAAGCGAAACATCACAATTTTGCAAATAACTAAGACGAAACTATAAACAGAAACCAAAAGCCAAAGCAACAAAAAATCACTAAAATCAGACGGAAAAATGAAACTAACCAAGAACATAAATAAATACACGTCACATCTTTGGAGTCTTTGGTTAGTTTTTTTCTCCCATAAGGCTTAAAAATGGAGTAAGAAATCATAATTTCACCAGTAGCCCCATCTAGAGTTTGGAGCAAATAGCATAAAAAATGTCAGTTGTCGGTTTTGACCTTGGTCATTCACGTGGAACCTCTATGTGCTTTGTGGTGGAATCGGTCCTTAGACGTCTATAGACGTATATATGCCGCGTTTGAAAATTCACATCCGATGCATTTTTTACATCTCGAGCGTTTTTTTTATCCACATCGGACACATCTACTACATACTACATCTACATCTGCGTTTGTTTATCCCAGATGTACCTGTTCAGATTACATTTTTACATCTCGATTTGAAATGAGATGTGAATCAGATGTTCGTTCCATGCCAGAAAGTAAGTGTTCTATTGCCGCGTTTGAGAATCCACATCGGATGCATCTGAGATGTTGTGAATTTTTTATCACGTGATAATGAATTAGATCTGAATGTAGATGTAATAAAAAAACGCTCTAGACATTATTGGTCACGTGATAAAATGTCAATGACAAGTTAGAAGTTTATTCAGTTTAAATTTGACTTATGAGACTACAAATCAACCTAAATTTGAAATCTAAACACTTTTATATTCATGCTAGCATAAACAAAGGATAATTTGACAAACTTGGCTTCACAGAACACTTACTTTCTGGCATGGAACGAACATTTCATTCACATCTCATTTGAAATTGAGATGTAAAAAATGTAATCTGAACAGGTACATCTGGGATAAACAAACGCAGATGTAGATGTAGTAGATGTATCCGATGTGGATAAAAAAACGCTCGAGATGTAAAAAATGCATCCGATGTGGATTCTCAAACGCGGCATATGAAGCCAAGTATGTCAATTTATCCTTTGTTTATGCTAGCGTGAATTTAAAAGTGATTAGTTTGTTTAATTTTTGTTTAGATTTCAAATTTAGGTTGATTTGTAGTCTCAAAAGTCAAATTTAAAAAGTATAAACTTCACTTGTCATTGACATTTTATCACGTGATCAATAAAGTCTAGAGCGTTTGTTTATTGCATCTACATTCAGATCTAATTCTCTATCACGTGATAAAAAAATTCACAACATCTCGGATGCATCCGATGTGGATTCTCAAACGCGGCAATAGTACTCCGGTAGTCACCGCAAATACGAACTTCGTCTTTGTTTTTCGGAACAACAACAACAACAACAACAATAATAGGAGTACACCATTTTGGATATGTTACAGGTTCGAGCACACCCTGTTCTATTAATCTTTCTAATTCTGGCTATATCAAGCTAGCGGGCACTCTGTGGCGGCACCATACAAGACCTGGTGGGTATTTTGCTTCCTCCATGGTATTTTGTAGCTTTTTCGTAACTTTTTTGTTACGCTATTTGCGAATTTGTAGCTTAGCCCAGGTCCGAAAAAACTGCGGATCTGCTAGCTTGAATTTCCATAGTAGCGGCACAGATTCAGACACAGCTGGTTTTTCGTAAGTTTTTTGTAGCTTTTTTGTTACTACGCCAGTCTCCTTTTTGTAGCTTGTACTGAACCTGAAAAAAAGCGCGGATCCGCTAGCTTAGCGGATATTTGTAGCGGCACCAGCTGGGACCCTGCTCATTTTTTGTAGCTTTTTTGTTACGCCTGTCTCGATTTCATTGCGAGGCCTGAACGTGAGTAATAATCGTTCCTCCATGAGCGTGGAGAAATGTGCGTTAATTTTAAATCAATTTTCGGCCTCTACAAGTAATAGGCACAACTCGATAGTGTGACTATCTGTTGATAGATGGCACCAGTATTGCATTTCACGAATTATGGCCATCTTCCGTCTAATATATTTTTGAAAAATTTAGATATAATCTCAAAATCGGACATTTTACATTAATATCGGACAAATAATTAATATACATACTGTTGAAAATTACCCTTAAAATTGATAAAAATATTTATCCTATGAAGGAAGGAAATCAGATCCCAATTTAATTTTACATTTAAAAAATCATAAATACGCTATAGGTAAACATTTCTTCGGGTCCGTTGAACAGGGTAAAATTACCCCATAAAATTCATAAATTAATTATCCTGTGAAGTGTTTAATATTTAAAAAATCAATAGTAGACTTACTAACATACAGTTTAAGCACAAATCCTTTGGACTCGTAAAATAAACCAATAAAATTATTACCCTATGAATGCGATACATTTTCTACTTACTTTTACATTAAAAAATAATAAACCAATGGGCCCGTTCACTTTTATTTTTGAATGTGAATTATTTATATATTTATAAAGATATTAAACTCTTTTGTCTGGTGGTACTGTTCCCGTTAAGATATTTTTGCTAGAAGTAAGGGAATTCCCATAAAATTCTTTCAGTGACTCATTGCGTCAGAAAACCCCTAATTCCCTTCAGGTCTCGTATCGGTTAATAGTTAAAAGGGCGCAGTTGTCGGATGTATGATTGCACCACCATTCCTCTTCTGCATTTATTAAAGAAATTTACATGATAAAAATATATTATTTTTAAAAAATAATGTGTTTATATTTTCAGATAAAGCTGAAAGCCTTACCTTTTTTAAATTTTAATAAAAACAATTAGTATTACTCAAACTGAATATTACCAGATCGAAATTTTATTTGAGAAAATGTATCTGGTAAACGTGACAACGTTGTTAAGTACTTCTAAATAGTGTTGTCTACACACACTTCTAGAAATAAATGCAAAGTTGCCACGTTTACCAGATAAATATTGCAAATCAAATTTCTACTTTTTGATTATGGTCTGGTTAATTTTCAGCCTGAGTAATAATAATTGTTTTAATTAAAAAGTAAAAAATAAGATCCCAGCTTTAAATCTGAAAATATTAGTTCATGATTTTTAGAAAAATAATGGAATTTTACTATTTAAATTACATATAAATGCAGAAATGCTATATTAGGGATACTTCCGACAACCTCGCCGTCTTTGAGCATAACCGATACGAGACGTGAACGGAATTAGGGATTTTCTGACGCAATGAGTCACTGAAAGAATTTTATGGGAATTCCCTTACTTCTAGCAAACATATCTTAACGGGAAAAGTACCACCAGACAAAAGAGTTTAATATCTTTATAAATATATAATCAATTCACATTCAAAAATGAAAGTGAACGGGCCCATTAAACAATAAAGGATGAAAGCAAAAATCCCTTCGGACTCGTCTAACAAGATGAAATTAACTTTTAAAATTAAAAATAAATACTTATCTAGGATGGGTATCAAATTTCAACTTTAATGCTTACAATCATAAAATAAAAAATATACTAACATAAACAGTAAAAAAAATCCCTTCGGGTCCGTCAAACAGGGAGTGATACTTATAATTAAAAATAAATATTTACCCCATGAAGTGAAAATCCCTTCGGACCAACTTTCTTTCACAATCAAACAAATAAATTTAATATAACACACTGTAAGCGAAAATCCCGTTGGACACGTCGAAGAAGGCGAAATTAACCCTTAAAAATCCCAAAAAATAACTTTCCTATGTAGCCGATCAAATTCATTCGTGCTTTTGCA